TTTTTTTTTTTTTTTTAAGGCATGGTCTTGATATCCAGTTCAGGCTTTCCTTGAGCTCACTTTGTAGCCCAGGCTGCTCTCAAACTTACAACAATTCTCCTGTCTCAGCCTCCTGAGTGCCGGGGTTACAGGTGTACACCACCGCATTCAGCAAGTGGTTAAAGGCAGGCAAGGACAGATGAAGGATGTGGGAATGGAACACTGCCTGTAGGAATTCTAGGTCCTGAAGGCGTGGTCAGCTCCACCACAGACGGACATGGGGGTGAGCGCTCTAGGTTCCAGCACCCCTTCCTCACTGCCTTGTTACAAGGCCTGCTCACCCAACCTCGCCGCACTTCAGGAAGCCGGAGGCAGAGACGAGCTGGTGGCATGACCGCCGGGGCTGAGCAGCATGCAAGCCTGCATCCTCCCTCCAGAGGGCCAAGCTCATGTCTCCCACCCTACGTGTGGTGGCACTGGTCATGACGTGTCATTTCCCATGACTGTTCCCTGCTTTGTCGCATCACTGTAGACAGCTAGGCCTGGCAGGAATATTGCAGGCAGTCAGCTAGGGCTGGGCCCTCGAGAGCCAGGACAAAGGTGAAGCCCATCCCAACAATGGCTGGAGACGCAGCTGCGGGAGACCAGGCCTCGTGAGAAAGAGGAGCTGACCAGGGCTGTGTACTTCCCCGAAGGATAAACACCAGGCCCAAGGCAGCCCAGATAGCCATCAGTCGCCCCAGTGGGTGACCAAGACCTCTGGACCCATCATTTCCTGGAAGTCTTTGTTCTTTCCATGTACCCTAGTTACGTGACCTCCTTCCCCATTGGATCAGTATTGCCTCAGCAGCTGTACGTGGCATCTTATTGGTTGGTAATGACTGGAGCGCACTTTGCACCCACGTGGGTCTCACTCTATAAAAGGTAGTGGGGGCCTGGGCAGCCCATTCAGGTCTCTCCTGCCTCTCAGGAACTATATCTTTCCCTCTCGAGGAATATCTTGCTACACTCAACCTCTATTGTTCCTAGATTTCACTCTGTGGTGTTTAGAGAGCACAAAGTTGGTGTGTCAGCCATCTAGCAGGTTGGGAGCAGTAATGTTTCCCTTATTTCATAGAGGTTCTGCTGTCACCCCTGTAACATCACTATCTGGTGTTGGTGAGTGAGTGTGTAGATAGTATGTGCTCTGTCTGCCAAGCCAGAATGCAGGCCCTGGGGAAGCGAGGCCCTACCTGCCTTCCTCGCGAGACCATGGGCTGGTGTCACAGGGACCTCAGAGCCGTGGAGTCAGTGAACACACAGCACCCACATTCACTTCCGTCCTTCTCTGCCACATCCATAGGTGACTAGGCTCAGATCCTGCTGGGACCACGTCAGGCCCTAACTGGCCGATCCTTCCTTTGTCTCTCTGCCATTATGCACAAGATGACATCCAAAGCCAGCTGGTGCTTTCTTTTCTTCTTAGTGATTGTGTAACTTAAGTAATCTCAAATATAAGATGGGGGAAACAACTTCTTGGCTTGTCACTTAAGGACCCTGCTGTGTGGCCCACTGCAACTGAGCTGTTTTGGCCCTGAACTGTCTTGCTGGTGTGACACACAAGCTCTTTGGAAAAGGGACCAAGAGGTGGAGAGAGGAGATGAAAATAGAGCTAGGAGGGGCCGGGGAGATGGCTCAGTAGAATAAGTGCTTCCCTGCCAAGTGCAAGGGCCTGAGTTTAGTCCCTGGTTATGCCAAACAAAAAAAGAAAAAGAGAAAGAAAGAAAATAGAGCTAAGGTGTGTCCCACACATGTGCCAACTTCCCACGATGAATGAAATCATGCACTGTACACATGTATTAATAAAAATTATTTAGTAAGGTGAGCCAGATTTCTAATGAGCTAGAAGGGTGATGCCCAATAGAACATTCTGTGATGACAAGCATGCTTTAGATCTGCCCTGTTCTACCAATGGACCGTGCTGTCAACCTTTGAAATGTGGCCAGTGACTAAGGAACTTAAAATCTAAGTCCAGGGCCAGCCAAATAGCTCAGCAGACTAAAGTCCCTACTTAGAAGGTACAGGGGCCAGGGTTCAATCCCCACCGTGCCATGCTGGCCTCGCCTTGGGGGCATGCTGAGACCAAGATTGAGATTGGGCGTGGTGGTAGACATGCCTGTAATCCCAGCACTTGGGAGGCTGAAAACAGGAGGATCATTACAAGTCCGATCTGTGTAGTGAAATGTTGTAGACCCTGTACTAAATACAAAATAAATAAAATCAATCCAAACAGTCACACATAGGTGGTGGCTACCACAGGGGACTGTGGGATGCTAGGATACCAAATGTACAATGTATCTATTATAACATAATACTGCCTCCAATGAATAACTCAAGGGCTGGCCAAATAGCTCAGCAGATTAAAGCACCTGCAAGCAGGTGCAGGGGTTGGAGGATTCAATCCCCAGGCCTGCCGTGCTGGCCCTACCCCTGGGCACACTGATACAACAATTGACACTGCGCTTGGTGACACCGCCTGTAATCCCAGTGCTTGGGAGGCTGTAAACAGGTGGATCACTATGAGTCCGATCTAGTAGTGAGACCCTGTAGACCCTGTATTAAATACAAAACCAATAAATAATAAAAAATCTAAATCCAGTCACACATAAATGGTGAGTACCTCAGGGGACTGTGGGACGCTAGGATAATACCAAATGTACAATGAATGTATCAAGTGTAACATAAAACTGCCTCTGATAAATAACTCATATGTAACTAAGATAATGTTATAATAATATACTAGGACTCTGTTATGCTGTTGTACACACCCACAATGTCTTATCCTCTTCTTTTCTTGCACCTATGACATCTTGCAACTTATATATAATTGTGCCATTATTTAACAGCTCCTCTCCTGGAGGAGAGGAACAAAGGAACAAAGGTTTTGTCTGTTCTGTCACAACTGTGTCCCCAGTGCCTGGCTTGGAACCTGGTATGCCAACAGATACCTGAGTATTTGTTGAATAAATGAATGAACAAATGTGATTCATGAAAGAAGATTGCTACTTAGCCTGGTGCTAAAAATGAAGTGTAGTCATGAAAACGGGGGAGGCCGCAGGTCCTGCCGTCTGAGCAGCTGCTGAATCGGGGCTCACAGGAGGCGCGCCTCTGGCGTGCGCCGCCCGGGGCCCAGGTCTGTGTACAGAAGCAGAGCCTGCCTGCGTTGCTGCAGCCAGATGCACCCGTGGGGAGGGGCGGGTAATAATGCGGCTGAGACAGAGACAGAGGCAAATTCACCCCGGAAGGCAGTTTCTAAGTCGTTACTTTTTATTTTGAAAGATTTGTCAAACTCTTCACATCTTGGAGAGAGTTTGCCTGATAAGAAGCAGCTTTTTCATGAAATGCTTGGAGGTGAACAAGTTCTCAGCCTGTGAGATCCGACCATCCCAATGACTCTGAAGTTTCTCTGATTGATAGGAGATGGAAGGGGGAAAGAAAAGCAGGAACATGCTAGAACACGTATGACAGCCTAAATATGAAAGGAAAGATACAACCAATTCACCAGCTCCACTTTCTCTTCCTTACACCTTTCTACGCCTCACTCTGGATTGGCCTGTGTGCCTCCAACAGTCTCCCAGCCCGCGGAGCCCCTGAGAAGAAGCCTGAAGTCTCCAAAGGAGGGAGGAGGGAAGAAACCCTGTGGGACGTGCTCATCTACCCTGCAGAGAACTCACGGCCACGGCTCCCAAAAGTTTAAATGAACAGCCTGACGAGCGCGGGAGGTGACGCTGAAGAGCGGGGCGTACGTGGGCGCCTGCGTCTCTCTCGGCCAAGCCTGCGCAGACAAGCCCTGCTCTCTCTGGGTCTGCTTGGCAGGTTCCACGGGGATCTCCCTTACCACTGATCCTCTAGCCCCCAAAACACTCTTGCCGACATCTTGTCTGTTACTTCTCTTTAGCCCCCTGCAGCCACCTGGGAAGACCCCACGCACCCCAAACCCTATGAACTAAAGTCAATGCCAAGTCCGACTGGGTGAATACTAGCTTCAAGCAGAGCAACAGAAAAGATCTGAGGATGCAGTGTGTGAGGCAGGCTAGAGTTGGTGAATGTCGCCACAGCCAGGAAGCCCCTGGCCAGTGCTGCAAATGGCAAGAAAAAAGTGGCAGGACTGTTAATGGGTGAGCCAAAGGGCTCCTCAGTCGAGTTACAAGTGAGTGTCAAGGCTTGGGCTACGATTTCCATGTTTAGCACCGTTAATGTATTCATATAAATCTATGTTAGCACCTTATCCCCAGGCGGAACGACAAACCATCCAAACATTTTAAACTTTGGGGGCGGGGGGAACAGGAAGGGACAGGTCAAAGAGAGAGAATCCGGTTGTGCGGGAGGAGGCTGGGTTTAGATCACAAGATCTTTGTCGATATCCTCTGTAAAGCAAGAAAAGAGACAATTTAAAATGAGGGGCTGGGCTGGGGAGATGGCGCAGTAGAATAAGCGCTTCCCTGGCAAGCGCAAGGGCCTGAGTTCAATCCCTGAGTTCATTCTCCGGTTCCACCAAAACAAAAATAAAATGAGGTGCGTTTCCTGCATGCTGGACTCCTTCCCATCCATAGGAGCAAGCCGTGGTGGCCTCCCCACTCTGCCTCCTGGTCTCTCCCGGCCTCTAGGATGTGCAGCCAAGTCTCACTTCCTGATTCATGCCCACCCCTCCCCCACCCTAGCCTGAGGCAGGCGAGGGACAGTCAGTGCTTCAGATGGACAGAAAAGGGTCCAGGAGACCCGAGAGATGAAGGTCAACCCAACAGGTGGAGCAGACTGGAGACAGACAGGGCCCACCAACGGACAGACACACAGACAGCCAGACAGCACCCACCACCCACCCTCAAGATACTCACGCTCTTTGATGCCAAAGCAGCCGGCCCACTCCTCCAGGGCGATGTACTTGTCATTGTCCAGGTCACAGGTCTCAAAAAAGCGGGTGGTGCAGTGCTCCATGGGGATGAGGGGGGCCCGCAGGGGAGCCAGCTCGGTGTGGGACAGGTACCTGCAAGCGGGAGGGCGCATGTGTGAGTGTGCGCACGCAAGTGCACACACACGAGCAGAGGGCCATTGAGTCCGCCTCATGGCATGGAAGGAAAGGAATCAAGATGCTGGGTCCTCCTTCTCTGATTCGGACCTGTAGCACTCCTCCCCCAAGGGACTCCAGGGAATACTGTGACCCCAGCTTCCCTTCTAAACTCCAGACCTCCCAAGCCTATCCAACACCTGGAAGGAGCTGCACAACATTTGAACCGGAACATTCCCTTTCACTATATTAGTGGGGAAACTGAGGCCCAGGAAGGTGCAAGGACTCAAGCAAGCCCACTTCCTGCTCGAGACAAGAGAGAAGGCGGCAGCTCCCATAGCCCGGCAGTAGCACATTCCCAGATGCAGTCCCCGCAGCCCTGTCAGGAAGCTGCCTGCAGGCCTCACGTCCCTGTGGGGCCCAGATGATTGCCCCCATGACTCCCCCTGTCAGCCCTAGTGAGTGGCTCAGTTGGATCCCAGCCACAGTCAGGGTCTGGGAGAAGAGAGGCCAAGAGCTTCCCAGAGCCCGAGAGAGCCTGGTCACCCCTCAGCCTCGCTGGAGCTGAGCAGGGGTCAAGAGCAGGCCAGAAGGTGGCAGCAGCAGAAGGACGTGTCAGCTCTGGGTACGTGAAGGTCCTGGCTGGCACAGTGCTGGGCACCTACTGGACCGCGCCGCACATCCATGCCCTGCCCGGCTACCTGCCCATCCCGCAAGGCCAGAGTCCAGCAGCCAGGACCAGCTCTGAACTCCTTAGGAGCTCTGGGGGTAGCTGGTCCTTGGGACGGGGTCAGAGTGGGGCTTAGACGCCCAGAGGGCTGTGCTGCTCCCACACTTCTGCAGAAGGATCGGAGAGTGCAGGCCACCCCACCCAGGCCCAGCACCCCTGGAATCTGGTCCTTCCTAGCTGGCCCATAGCTCTGTGCAGAAGCCTCAGCCCTTGAAGACCTGGGTGGTCTTTCCAGTGCTGCTGACCCCGCCTTTGGCCCCAAGGGGCACGAGTGCTCCTGGCCCTGCCTGCTTCCTTCCTTGAGATGCCATTCCTCCTGCCCCAGGCACTCTGTGGGCTCAGCATGGGTGCCACAGTTACCAAGAGGCTTTCTGGTTGTGTCCAGGGAGCCTCCCAGCCTCACCCGCTGACCATAACTGCAGGGTCAAGCCCGATGGGCACTGTGCTCTGGAGGGCTTGGGGTCCTACCCATCGATGGGATGCTGGTCCAGCTGGCTGAACTGCCAGTGCACGGGGAAGATGTACATGTTGTAGTTCTTCTCGAAGTCCCGCGCCAGCAGCTCCACGGGGTGGTCTCCGGCCTCCAAGCGCTTCTCGTTCTCATGGATCTTCTTCACCTGTGGGGCGGAGATGCCAGTGACCCAGGGCTCAGGGGAGACTGCCCAGCCAGCTGGGCCCCACCCTCCTCAGGGAAGCTGACACAGAGCTCACACTGGGGGGCAGGCACAGCCAGGAAAGTATTCACTCCCCAAAGCGGAGCCCCTGATGCTCTTCAAGGGTACCCGCTAGGGCTGCCCACATTGAAATCCCCGGGCAGTGTGTCAGATGCAGCTTCCCAGGATGGCTGCAGAGTTCCTGCTTCTCGAGGACTGGAGAAAGGTTGAGGAATCTGCACTTTATCAGCACTGGGGAATGTTTGAAATGCCCATAACAGCGCAAGATCCACAGGCGCAGAAGGAAAAGGAAGAGGGCTGTTTGTGTCTCTGTGCCTATCACCAGGATGAACAAAGGGAGCAGTCCCCCTCACTGCTGGGCTCCCCAGACAGTTGAGATTACAGCACACAGGAGCCTCTGAGCACAGTGAGGAGCCGCGTGTGTCCTGGCCCTGGAGGAGTGGCCGGTGGATGCCGGCTTGGTGAGGCCCAGTGCTAGATCGGGATGGGTCAATCTCAGCCAGCCCTAGACCAGCGCACCAGGCAGGCACCCTAGGGCTGGCTGGGAAGGACCCACTTACTTTCAGCTTCTGCTTTTCAGTCAACAGGTTGTTGTCCTCATCCCTTTCATACAGGGTCACCAGCACATTCTTGAGCCAGTCCCGCATGCGCAGGGGGAATTCAGTCAGTTCGGAGTCCAGGCAGGGGGGGATGTCTAGGGCCCAGAACACAGTGGTGATCAGTGCAGGCCCCACTGTCCCTGCCCTGGTCACGTCCACCGCCCATGCACACTGTGAGACAGTCTCTGCCCAGGACCGCAAGCAAAGGGACTAGGAGGAAAACGCTTCCCAGGCGGGAAGGTGCAAGGCCTAGGCTGCTGCTTCCAGGTCCTTGGTCAATCTGCTGGGGACACGGTTCACCCCGGTGGCCCTGCACCTTCCCAGCCTCCTCTGTGATCCTTGCATTGCGGAGCCCACACTAGTGAGATCCAGTGCAGAGAGAATAACACCCTCCCTCAGGTCCAGCTTGGCAGCCGCAGGCAAAAACAAAGGAACCATGAACTCTTAAGTACCAGAACTTTCTTAGAGGTAAGGACTCTGTCCTGGCCCTCGGAACTTAGAATCCTGGAATGCTACACCTGGAGGACTCAGTGCACCGGGAAGGGACACTGGGCCCCATAATGACAAGAACAAGGCTAAACCCAATTAGAACCCTGTCCCACCCCACCCCTGTTTCTGCAGCCTGCACACCTGAGAAAGGTAAGTGGCTCACCTCAGTGCCCCTGCTGTCCCAGAGATATGAGGGAGGAGCTGTCTTGGAAAAGCAGGTGGGGTCCCAAGGATCATAAAGGACAGGGAGGATGTCGTGGGCCAGCACCTGGGCCAGCGGAGCCACTGACCATGAGCCACACTATGCCCTGTGGTCCTTTTTCCCCAACACCAACTCCCAGGTTTCTAGGAGACTGTGGCTGTCATATGACCTAAGGAGGTGGACAGGAGCGATGGAGTAAAAGGGCCAAGAAGATGACAATAGTGGAAACCAACCTAGAAGAAACGGATGGGACCAGGAACAGTGGTAGTGCATGCCTGTAATCCCAGCACTTGGGAGGCTGAGGCAAGAGGATTGTTGGGAGTGCAAGGTCAGCCTGGGCTGCAGAGTGAGCTCAAGGTTAGCCTGAAGACATAGCAAGACCCTGTCTCAAAGAGACAAAGAAAGAAAGAAAAGGATGGGCCAGTGACGTAACTCAATGGCACAAGCACCTGCATGGCAAGCATAAGATCTCGAGTTGGATTCCCAGTACAAAAGAAAAAAAGAAAGAGCTCTTCTGCTTCAGTCCGCCATCGAGCGTGTGTGCTCGCCTCCTACCCGCACCATGTCTTCTCACAAGCCTTTCAGAACCAAACGATCCCTGGCCAGGAAGCAAAAGCAGAATCGCCCCATTCCTCAGTGGATTCATATGAAGACAGGTAATAAATCAGGTACAACTCCAGGAGGAGAACTGGAGGAGGACCAGGCTAGGACTGTAAGGAGCTGCACATGAGCTGCAGCACCTTTACCCTCTGGGAGGTCACAAGACAATGTCATCTTGTAATCATGGTCAAGACAATAATGAATAAAGTTTTAAAAATAACCATTGCCTGGACAGTGGAATATACTTAATCAGGAATCTTATTATTTTTTTTCTGTGATCAGTACTATCAATAAATTTTTGAAACCTTAAAAAAAATAAAAAGAAAAGAAAAGAAATGGTTGGACACACTCCTAATTGAAAGTGTTCAAGCTGAATTCGCTAAAATACTGGGTAAGTTGGGATTGACAGCATTCACAGTGTTGAAGCAGGAAAGGTCTGAGAACTTTGAGATTAGAAAAGAACTTCATGGGCCGGGGAGATAGCTCAGTAGAATGAGCACTTGCCTGGAAAGCTCAAGGGCCTGAATTCAACCCCCAAGTTCTGCCAAAAAAAAAAAAAAAAAAAAGAAAGAAAGAAAAAAGAAAAGAACTTAATCATTAGAAAGGAGATGCTAGTGGAAAGTTCTAGAAATCCTCCTACACCTTGTGCTTTCACGGTTGCTTGGTCCTTTCTTGTGTCCTAACCTCAGAGAGGAAAAGAATCTACTCGTAGATAATCATCCTGTTTTATAAACAGGAACCCTGAGGCTCAGAGAGGGGAAGAGATTCACCCAAGGTCACACAGCACCAGATGACAGCCTGCATCAGTGCCAGTTCAGAGCCCGGTCCCTGTGCCACGAGGCCAGTGAGCCCAGAAGCCAGACTCACATTTGCAAGGCCCAATGTAGTCCAGGTGGAGTTTGTGGCCCTTCTTGGTGCCCTCCAGGGTGCATTTGGTGGCAAAGAAGTGGCAGGAAGAGTCGAAGGTCTTGTTGTCATTGCTGCACACCTGTTGGCCAAGCACAGGGCACTGTCCCTCAGTCCCAGGGCCTCACGCTGGTATCGGAACTTCTGTCCACCCAGAGATGGGGACACACAGCCAACCAAGGGCCAATCAGTCTGCAGCATGGCTGGGACAAAACCCACTCTGAGTGCGGGGAATTTTGCTCAGTGCCTGCCTGGCAAGTGTGAGGTCCTGAGTTTGTTACCCAGTACCCTCAAAAAAAAAAAAGGAAAAGAACTCACATCTGTGGACGTTAGGCTGGTGTCCAGCCATACTGACAGCCACGGCTGCTCTCAGAACAAAGGCACAACCGAGTCGAGGAAGGAAATATAGGAGACATTTGAGGGGTGAGGTACAGATGGGGACAGGGCTAGGATAAGAACAAAGAGAGAGTGCAGCAGGCCCGGGACTGCTATACTCGGGAAGCCAGGGCCAGGCTGGTCCTCACCAGTGAAGGGAGCTGGGCCAGGCAGCGGGGTCCTGCACAGTTACAGCACTCTCCCTGATGAGCAGGGTGGCTCGAGGGGCCCAGGCTGCAGGGTACAGCGACGCGCTTTGACTACTGTCTGCTTTCCTTCTGAGAGGCTGGGGTCTAGGAACCCACATAGCCCCCTGGTGCCCACGGGACCAGTCGCCAGTGAAGACTCCAGTGCTGAGTCTCAAGTGGGCTTCTCACGGGTGGCTGCATGTGTACAGCTGAGGCAAGAGTGAGCTCTGCGTGACCGACCCCCACGGGAAGGCGTGAGCACACGGGTTCCTCCATCTCTGCCTGTGTCCTTCCCCCTTGAGCCGGCTGGACATCCTTGCCAAGGCAGGTTATAGAGCCTGGCTCTCAGTCCAGCTGCGGGCTGAGCCCTTGGCATCTGAGCACCACCTAATGATGCGCTCAAATCACAGCTGGCTATGGTGGTGCCCAGCTATAACCCCAGCACTCGGGAGGCCGAGGAGGAGGACTGCTGCTAGTTCAAGACCAGCCTGGGTTACAAAGTGAGCTCAAGGCCAGCCTGAACTGCATGGTGAGACCCTGTCTCAAAAAGACCAAAAGTAGCACTTATTGGGGCTTATTAGACAACAGGCATTATTTAACAAATGCCTACAACAGCCCTGCTAGGGACTGTAGTAAAGGACAAGTTTTAACCCCTCCTTAGATACGAGAAAACCGAGATGGAAGAGACCCAGCAGCTCAGCTAATGAGATCTAAAGAGAATCTTCAAGCTGGCCCCAGAACCCACATTTGGGGGCCAAGCTGCAGAGTCTCCGATAAGAACACGCAGAGCCTGGCATCCAGCTCAGAATCCTAGAGTCCCCGAGTCTGAGTCCAGCGCCTCATCCAACTCAGCTCGGCTCTCCCTCTGTGCCCGGATCTGCTGCACCCCAGAGGTACCCCACAGCACCACTGAAGCCCATTTTCTGGGCGGACACACAGGATTGCTAAGGACCCAGCCCTTCAGCCCAGAGGCGGAAGCCTTTTAGAGACTGAGGGCCCAAACTATAGCCCACACCCACTGATTCATCACCAAATGCCCACACTGCAATTAAATCTGAATACTGAGGTTTTTGTTTAGAAAAAACAGCTCACACACTGGCTCAAGTGCGCTGAGGGATCTGCGTGCCCCTGCGCACCAGGCTCGTCGCCTCGCCGTAGCCCGTTCTTACCTTCTCAAACTCGCCGACCGGGGCCGGGCAGGTAGTGGGGTCCTGGCACACGCACATGGGGGTATTGTTCTCATCCAGCTCGCACACCTTGCCGTGTTTGCAGTGGTGGCTCTGGCAGGGGTCTGTGGGGACACAGAGCATAAGGTCAGCGAGCCGAGCCACACACGCTGGTCCCCACAGGCGCGTGGCTGGAGCCCTACTCTAGGGTCTGGGCATCCTCTCTAGCAGTCAGCGCTTAGGGGAGCAGTTGGCTCAGTCTAGAGATGAGAGTTCATTCCAAGTCAGTGATGCCCAGGCGCTTTTTCAGTGTAAGATGCTCAATCTGGGGCCCAGAAACACCCGTTACCATGCAGATGGCAACCTCTGCTCTCAGTTGAGTCATTTAGGGAGGCATTTTTGGATTCTAGATAGACTTTCTAGAATGGCTTAGATGATTTCTCTCTTTTTGGTACCAGGAATAGAACTCAGGACCTTGCACTTGCCAGGCAGGCAGTGTACCACTGAGCAAAATCTCCAGCCCCTAGAATGGCTTAGAAAGTTGGGTGTTGTCCTGGCTCCACAGAGCTGCGAGTCCAACAAAGCAGACTTAAGCGTCCCTAAAGGAAGAGGAAGAGGAGCCCAGGCTTACGCTGGACAGTAGGCCCCAGCTGTGCCTGGTAAACACCGGATGTGGTGGGCGCGGGCAGGAAGGAATCTGGGTCTCCTCCCACAAGAAACCTTTGTGCCACACTCACTCCGGGCACCATGAGCCATGCCTCTGTCCCCACCCAAGAGGGGTCTGGACCCCTCGAGACCAGGACTTGACCCAGTCATTTCCTCCTGATGTCTAACGCTGGATGTTTTAGTTATCCTGCATTGGGCACGCATGCTGCAGGCCGTGGCCCAAGCCCTCGATGCTGTGTGCTGTGACCCACCTGAGACGCTCTGCAAGCACCTCCCATCTCACCCTTCCCCCATTAGAGATGGGGGGGCTGGTGCACAGAGGAGCTGCACAAGCTGTCCGGGAGGAGCCTGGCTTCGGAGCTCCCCAAGTTCAGTTGCAAAGTGCTTGCTCTCGAAGCCCCGGGTACAGGCGCCTCAGCCCGACGGCTCAGGCCTGAGCCCCTAGCCCACCCCATCTCCAGCACCGTCTCTGAGGGACGCGTCATGAGTCGTGTCAGGTTTGATTTCCTCACAGCCTTATTTTCTTGGATGAGTGCTAATCAGATAAGCCAGCGAGTGTGAAAGTTCCTGACCTCTATCCTCAGAAATGCTTCTATGGGACACTGTGACAGAGGGCAGGGAGAGCTCAGAGACCAGGCTTGACCATGGCCCCAGTGGCAATGTGGGACCCAGCTGTGGAAGTAGGGCAAAAGTTGCCAGGGGAGAAGGACATATCCAGCCAGGGAACTTCCTTCCCAGGCATTCCTAGCCCGGATGTGCTGGCTATACATAGATCTTTCCAGATTCCAGGGGACAAAAAAAAAGAAAAGCAAAAACATCCTGCTCTAGATGCCAGAGGGCATTTCCAGCCCCACAGTCCAAGCAGCCTCTCCCCACAACCTCTGAGGACCCCACCCTGCAGCTCCTTGTGTAGGAGCCTCACAGAGGCCATGGTCAGGCCCAGGCCCAGGCCCAGCAGCCAGGAGCAGACCCAGGTGCCAAGTCATGGAGAGGGACCTACTTTCAGCCACCACGTCCTCTACGGTCTCCTCAGCGCCGTCTTCAAATTCTCCAACTTCCACCTGGACGGGGTTGGCACCCACAGGCATCTGAAATGGAAGGACAGGAATGAGTGGAATTGTCCCCACCCCATCGCAGACCCACAGAGGGGACCACGGCAGCGGGCCTTTGCCTGAAAGTTCCCCTAGGGAGCAGCAAGGGGGCAAGACACAAATGTGGCGAAGGCCCACCCAGCTCAGAGCACGAAGGCCAAGGTGGAGAATCTGGGTTTCACCTTGTATTTAGCATTGCTTTTTCAGTTTATTAAGTGAATGTGGTCCTCATCTTATGTGTTTAATAGTGTCTTAGAATTCTGTGGAGATACCTTGGAGGCCACCAAAGCTGGCGGGGCAAGAAGGGATCCAAAAGCCAAGCATGGTGCACACCTGTAACCCAGTGCTCTGATAAGCTGGGCCAGGAGGACTGCGGGCTTGAGCCCAGGCTGGACAGCTCAGCGAGACTTTGTCTCAAAATAAGAAAACATTGGGAAAGGGCTGGGGATGCAGCCCAGTGTGAAGGCCCTGCCTGGGCTCAATCTCTAGTACTGCAAAAATATAAATAAACAAATAAATAAAATTCCAAAGCCTCTACCCCTGCTGAACAACCTGAGCAATCCCCTTTCATCTGTTTTATAGAAGGGGGTTACTGGGGTGGTTCTGAAAGAAGAAATGAAAGCTAAAATGTTTGAGAACCGCAGCTCCTGTAGAAGACCTGGTGTGCATTCAGGAGTGTGAGGCACCCAGGATGGACACAGGGCTGAGTGACACATGCCTCACTCCAGCATAAAGACCCCCACTAGACCTGTCTGAACTGCCCAGGGGAGGGGCTGGCAGCAAGGGGCTGGGGCTGGGGCTCCATGGTCCACACCACTTACCTCGGCCACCTCGGCCACAGTTTCCTCCACCACCTCTGTCTCATCAGGCAGGGCTTCCTGCTGCTGCTGCTGCTGCTGGCAAAAGAGAGCGAGATGCAGAGAGCTCAGGGCCCAGTCAGCTTCTCAGAAATGGCCCTGAGCTGGGACGTGCTAGGAACTCCCAAGGCTGTGCGTCAGGGGCTCCGTGCTGGGAGACTGGGCCAAGGAGAAGCCACAGAATGTGGAGTGGCTCCCTTTACATGTAGCTGATACACATCTTGTATTTACACAGGCGTGCGCTCTCAAGGTAGGAAAAGCTTTGGTGCAGATTCATTCCAATAGCAGCATCTCAAAGCCGGTCTGTCAGCTATTGCCTGGCTGGTGTGACATTATCATCATTACTGTTGGGCGATTCCTTCCTGCTGTTCCACGTAGACCCCTGGAGCTCCTGCTTTCTCGTTCTCTCTGAGGTCTTCGACGGCATAATGGAAGCCTGCATCTCCAGTCTATTTGAGCTTTAGCGTAGAAAGCATTCCTGCTGCTCTGAATGCCTACAAAGTCTAAAAAGCCCTGCTTCAGACCAACTGCTCTAGTTGTGCAGATAGGAAAACTGACAGCCAGAGGGGATGGGCAGCGTGAATTTTAGCAGATATCAAATCCTCCTTATGATGTGATATGATTTTCACTTCTATGAGGCAATTCCTTCCTGCCATTTCAACTTAGAGTAAGAAGAGGGGAGACAGCAGGTAACTTCGAGGCCCCTGGTTGGCTGGGGCTGCTTCTAAAAAGTAATGCCAACCTTACCAAATTTTTTATCAAAACCTGCCCATCTGAGGAACACAGCCTGGGTCTACCAATCACCTCCCATTAAGAAGGGGAGGAAGGGGCTGGCCAGATAGCTCAGGGGATTAAAGCGCCTGCTTAGGCAGACATAGGGACCCAGGTTTGATACCTGGCTTGCTGTGCTGGCTCCATCCCCAGGGCGTGCTGAGATGGCAATTGAGACTGGATGTGGTGGCAGGCCCCTGTAATTCCCACACTTGGGAGGATCACTATGAGTCTGATCTGTGTAGTGAGACCCTGTAGACCCTCTACTAAATACATTTTTTAAAAAAATTAAGAAACAAAAAAAGAAGAGGCGCTTGCCTGGCAAACACAATGGCCTGAGTTCAATCCCCCGTTCCGTTAAAAAAAAAAAAAAAGAGTAAGGAGACCTGGGATGAAAAAAACTACTCTGTGTGCCGGGCCTGTCCTCCTCATCCTCTCCTGGGATGGCCCCAGGCTGGCTTTGGTTAGCCACTCCTGTCCTGCTGGAAGCCATCCTGGGAGTGACTGTCCTGCCAGTCACTCTGCACCCAGCCAGTCTGACTCACCTTAATTATTTTTTTCTAGTCTTGTTGGCACATTCCCTCAAGATACAAAGATTGCTGAGCCAATTCACTGGGGTGCGGCATGCCCACAGGCTGTTACCTCCCAGGCCCTCGAGCTGCCTTTGTCCTGTCTTCCCAAAGCCTCTGCTGTCACAGTCTACACCTCCACCTTGGCTCCGCCACCCCAGGTGGCCAGGTGGGGATCTGGTGAGTCTAGCCCTTCTCTCTGTGGGACTTGGTTCTCTTCTGATACCTCGTCCACCAGTACCCGCCTCCCGCATCCCTGACTGCTTGATTCCCTGTGAGATGAAGAGGCCACCTCCTAGTGCCCTGCTGGAAGGTCTCACTGCTGCACGGTTCATCTTCACATCGTCCTGGGAACTTCTACCCCCTGGACCTTACTCCAGCATGTCTCCTGCTCTTATTGGCTTAAGAGAACTGATTACTATTATTTTTTTAAACCAACTATTTTAAAACATGGTAACTAATTTGAGATGGGGCAGTCCTTGTCCCTTTTCAGCACCTGGGGTCAGCAGGTTCAGAAGCCCTACAGCTGGCAAAAGGCAAGAACCAGAAGATGGATCTCTCTGTACTTACAGGGGCTGCCAAGGCCCTCCCAGCCAGGCAAAGGAGGAAGAAGATCCAGGACCTCATGGTGCTGGGAACCCTGCAGGGAGGAGAGATGGAAACGGTGAGGGAGGTTTCCTCATGCAGCTCCTTCTGAGCTCCTGAGCCTTGCAAGGGGGGCTTTGGATGGCGCTTGTTCAGTCATGGGGAAGGAGGCGTGGAAGCTGGTTCCATTCAGTATTCGTTCAGTCCTCACTATATAAGGACAAAGTCTCTGGCTTAAGCCCCAGACACTCATGTGTCCTCCTTTTCAACAGAGATTGCAGCCCTCCGGCTCAGCGCTGCCAACCAACGCAGGAAGCTGAACCCAGCTGCAACTAAATGGAGTCCTTTTGTTTTCCTCATGTTCACTTTTACAGTTTCCTTCTATTTATAACTAGGTATACTGAATTTTCCATTTATGGCAACAGTATAAAAGTCTTCTTTTGTTGTCTTTTTTTGGTAATGAGGATTGAACCTGGGACAGTCCCAATGAGCTACCACCCCAGCCTCTTAGCCTCCCATCCCCCGCCCCCTTTTTGAATGTTTGAGGCAGGGTTTCATTAAGTCATTAAATTTCCCACGTTGGACTGAAACTTGCAATCCTCCTGCCCCAGCCTCCTCAAGTAAGGCAGTGTGTCACCAATCCTGGGTTAAAGACTTCTCTCTAAATACATGTACTTAGGTTTTTGTCTTTGTTTTTTTTTAAATGATTCAATCTGGTAATATGAACTAGCATGCATTACAACAAATACTGTGAAATCATTGTTTTGTTAAGTGAAATTCTGTATTACTTGTAATTTTTCTGTTTTAATACTCTTTTGTACTCTCTCTCTCTCTCTCCCTCTCTCTCCCTCTCTCTCTCTCTCTCTCTCTCTCTCTCTCTCTATATATATATATAT